TTAGGTGCGCTCCTCAGAGGTGTAAACCGTATGGTAGTTGGTGACTTGAATGCGCACCACGATCTTTGGTATTCAAGCCTGTCAAATTATCGTAGGGGAACACACTTGGCTGAGCAGACAGACGATTTGACATTCTGCACAATGGACGACGACGCACTCAGCAGGATTATGGGCAGCTGCTGCAGCTCGCCAGACATAATAATCGTCTGCGCTGGTCTGATAAACAGCTTATCATGACGACCTATGCTGACCTTATCATCAGGATCCCGGAAATCCCCGCATTAGAGATCACAATACGGAGATTTGGCAGCTTGTGAACATACATAATCGGAAGAAGTGAGAAAGAGCATCTGAGGACATGAAACTTCACCTCTGGTGTGAGCAAGCTTTGGTCAAGCGTGACGACGGGGTCGAAATTTCTTTCGGTGACCATGCTTCGTCGGGTCCTGAGCAATGCGCGAACTATTTTAGCCAGCACTTCATACTGCATCCTCCGGCGGACAAAGCCAAGCATCCACTTTGTTGCTAGTTCACATGGGAAATCTGCTTACGACGTGATTGGAGGAAATTTTAAGAGACTAGCAGCTAGAGCAAGTCTTCAACTCCTGATGTTACAACAAATTCGTACACCCTGGAAGCTATCATTGAATGAAACCGAAACATCAACATCAACAACACTCATTGCAAAAGAATATTAGACCTCCAATGATAGCTTCAAGGTTAGTCATTTTATTAAAACAAGAAAAAGGAAAGGTGTGTAACAAAAAATAAACCTAATGAGTAATAAAATTATAGTTAAAAAAAAACCAACAACAAGCTCAATAAAAATTGTTGAATATGATTGTTATAAGGCCATAAAATAACAAAAGCAAAATGTTTACTTATTTTTTTTTTTTTGATACGTTGCACATTAATGTAAAAAAATTTAAAATTAAAGCCCGTAATAAGACGGAAGAAATAAATTTTTTTTCATTAAGTTCCGTTAAAAGGTTTCCAAGATACAGCACTTTAAAGAAAGGTATGTATGACGTTTTCTTAAAACTCGAGTCCCCTGTAAATAGGCAACCCTACGTCATATCGGCAAAATATGCTGCACGTATATTCATGTCACCTAGCCTCCAATCTCTTCAACTTTCATCCAAATCCTGAGACGTCGCGCACAGAGTTGGCCGCGGTGACATAAAATGCCTCATATATGAGTGTTTTTACATTCTATAAAATAATTTATGCAACCTCAAATACGCGGGTTTTCATTATCTTCTTTGGAGTTAACAAACTTGCGTTTCACTGAATATAAAATGGTAGAAATAAAACGAACATGTTGTTCGATCTTTTTATACGCGGTTTTTTAGTTTTAAATCTGCTTTGAGCAATCCTATTGTCTAGCCTTAAAAATCCGTTTTGGAACTTTGTCCTCTAGGCTTTTGTTTTTAACTATCAGTATGAGTGTTTTAGACACCAGTTGCGTCCCAGGTGCTTCACAAATTGCAGATTTTTCAGGATTTATAGGAAAAGCTGTTTTCGCTATTAATAAATCATATAGAAGGTGGCGACCGGGAACGATTTCTTGTAAAATCCTGCAAATCGTGAAGCATCTGGAATGCAACTACCGAATTAACACATCAACAAAAAATCTGGAAACTATCAGGATTTTTACAACGGTCGGATCTTAATTGCCGGAAAAGCTTGGTTTAACATCCGGTAATTTGCAATAAACGTTTAACATTCTATTTCATTCACCTTTTCAAAAACGATACGAAAAATTACATTTGTATTAATGCAGCGCTCGAAACATAAAATCATAACTTTTATCCATATTTTAGTCATACATATTTCTTGATCTTTGTACAGTTTTTACCATGATAAAAACATAACAAGGTAAAACCATTGAGAGGCAGTCTGACGTTTGCCAACAATATAATTTTAAAATCAAAACTCAAACTTACACACACATTCTCATTTTCAATCTCAAACAACAACAATTGTGAACAATTTAATTTTTTTATTTTCAATTTTATATGATTTTAAAATGTTGGCAAACGTCAGAAAAAAATCATGGCCGACGAAATGAGAGAATGAATTTACCTTGTAATGTTTTTATCATGGTTTTTACAATACTCATAACGAAGCTAACGTTTCAACAAGTATTTCCTCTGTAATTTTAGCAGTTATTTTCACTTACCAGGACTGTTTCGAATGTGTGTAATCGATCATAATTTCAATATTCATCTAAACACTAGTTATTTGTTTTATTTTTAATTTATTTTCACACTTTTAATTCACTTTTAACTTCTTGCTTAAAACCATTTCATTTTACTTCCACATTGCTTTTAACTTTTAACAATTCTGTTGTCAAATTTTCCACGGTACTATCTAAAGAAAGAAATGTTACGTTAGGTTCATTCCTTATCTTTTTGGACTAAAATCTGAAAAGTGTCAAAATGCCAGAGCGTAAGCAAAATGCGCTCACTGAAAGAGAATAACAGGAAAAGTAAACGAACGCAAAAAACCAAATTTTTAGTCCAAAGAATGGCAACAACAAAACTAACGTCAAATAAGAACAGAAATGTATGTACAAAACACATTCACACAAGCACAAGCACAATAAACACTTGCTATATCAATTATTTTTTGCCTCCTTCCAATTTCAATTCATTTCTTTTACTTTTTAGATTATTCTCACTTTTAGCGTATTCTTTAATTTCCGTTAATTTAAATTCAGTTGAGTTTGACACTTTTCAGGATTTTGCCAGAAAAAATTCTTCTGACTAAATCTGACTACTTCGGACTAATGAGAGTCACTCTCACTGACTGTTGCTCTCTCATTTTTGCTGTCATTTCCGAGTTAAGGAACGCTTTTTGGACTAAATCTGACTACTTCGGACTTTTTCTGACTATTTCTGGGAGATAAGGAACGCTCCTATTAGGTTTGTTCCACACGAGCGAATACCTTACACTTTTGGATTGTATATGTCTTCTTCTTCGTGCCCGAACAGTCCGGGCTTTTTTCCTGGGCATAAATGTGCAAGAAGTCAATTTGAAATAATAGCTGTTGTTTGTGACATCCGATAGCAAATTTTGTAAAATACAAAAATGGAAAATAGCACTAAAAGTTCAGAAATGTAGGTATTTGCTAATTTTATTAGCTATATAAGATAAATACACAAAATCATTTGATTTCTGGATCCCGGGCACGAAAAGTGTTTTTTGAGTTCCACACGTTCTGGGCACTTTTGGCACGAGTGGACAACCTATAATTTAGAAGTTTTGTAGAATAATAGTTTCTTTCTAGTTTTATGGCCTTATTCATAAAAAATAAAGTAGCTTTAAAAAAGGTTTATAAACTGAAAAATGTATGAAAATGTTATTTTATAAAGCTCTTTAAACCTACTTTATTTTTTATGAATAAGGCCATTAGTGTATCCCTATCTTATTGCAAACCCTTATCCTCATAAATTCATTATTTTCATGAATTATTTGACATTTTAGTTAGTTAAACTTTTTCTTGTTGAAAAATATTTAAAGACAAATATAGATAAATTTAAGATTTGGTAATAACGGTAAAAAAACGCATAAAATTTGCAAAATCTCATCGGTTCTTTATTTGAAACGTTAGATTGGTCCATGACATTTACTTTTTGAAGATAATTTCATTTAAATGTTGACCGCGGCTGCGTCTTAGGTGGTCCATTCGGAAAGTCCAATTTTGGGCAACTTTTTCGAGCATTTCGGCCGGAATAGCCCGAATTTCTTCGGAAATGTTGTCTTCCAAAGCTGGAATAGTTGCTGGCTTATTTCTGTAGACTTTAGACTTGACGTAGCCCCACAAAAAATAGTCTAAAGGCGTCAAATCGCATGATCTTGGTGGCCAACTTACCGGTCCATTTCTTGAGATGAATTGTTCTCCGAAGTTTTCCCTCAAAATGGCCATAGAATCGCGAGCTGTGTGGCATGTAGCGCCATCTTGTTGAAACCACATGTCAACCAAGTTCAGTTCTTCCATTTTTGGCAACAAAAAGTTTGTTAGCATCGAACGATAGCGATCGCCATTCACCGTAACGTTGCGTCCAACAGCATCTTTGAAAAAATACGGTCCAATGATTCCACCAGCGTACAAACCACACCAAACAGTGCATTTTTCGGGATGCATGGGCAGTTCTTGAACGGCTTCTGGTTGCTCTTCACTCCAAATGCGGCAATTTTGCTTATTTACGAAGCCATTCAACCAGAAATGAGCCTCATCGCTGAACAAAATTTGTCGATAAAAAAGCGGATTTTCTGCCAACTTTTCTAGGGCCCATTCACTGAAAATTCGACGTTGTGGCAGATCGTTCGGCTTCAGTTCTTGCACGAGCTGTATTTTATACGGTTTTACACCAAGATCTTTGCGTAAAATCTTCCATGTGGTCGAATAACACAAACCCAATTGCTGCGAACGGCGACGAATCGACATTTCACGGTCTT